CGGAGCAAAGAAGGATGCCCGACCGCAGAGGGTCTGCGGGGAAAGGGGCGCGCGCGGGCGAACCCCGTTGAACACGGCCTCGGCAAAACACCCCGCAGCCGCGGCGGCTCCCCTCTGCGCGCAGCGGCGTGGTCGGCGTGGACGTTCGCAGGGAAAAGAGCCGCTTTTCGGGGAGCCTCCCGCCCTCGGCGGGGGGAAGAACCCAGACATGCGACGTCCTGAATTCCTCAGTCAACGGGGCCCCTGGAAGTCCCGACCCTTGCCTCGGGAACGGCTTTTCATCCTGAGTCGCCTCGTGACGGCCCCGGGGCCCGGCGAGGGCCCCCAGAGGCCGAAAACGAGGAAAAAAAACCCGACCTGATCTTGTCGGGAGGCGAGCGTGTCTGAGCAGCGGTCCCAAGCCGTCCGGCCAGCCCCCGTCAACGTGGCCCTCCTGCCAAGCAGGCGCCAGGGCACCCCTCGGTGCGCACGGGCGCGCGGCGCGGAAGAGGGACGCCCTGGCGTGCTGACACAAGAGCAGAAGTAAAGGAAGCAAAGCAGGACCCAAGAGGATGAGGAGGAGGAAAAGGAGGAGGAGGAGGAGGAGGACGCTCAGCTCCGACCCGTCGCATTCGCTACCACCTCGTCCTCCTCCTCCTCCTCGTTTTCCTCGTTCTCCTCCTCCTCCTCCTCCTCTCCCTCCTCCTCCCTCCTCGCCTCCTCCTCCTCCTCCTCCCTCCTCCTCCTTCCTCCTCCTCCTCCTCCTCCTCCTCCCTCCTCCTCCTCCTCCTCCTCCTCCTCCTCCTCCGCCTCCTCCTCCTCCTTCCGCCTCCTCCTCCTCCTCCTCCTCCTCCCCTCCTCCTCCTCCGCCTCCTCCTCCTCCGCCTCCTGCGCCTCCTCCGCCTCCTTCGCCTCCTCCTCTCCTCCTCCTTCCTCCTCCGCCTCCTCCTCCTCCTCCCCTCCTCCTCCTCCGCCTCCTCCTCCTCCTCCTCGCTCCTCCTTCCTCCTCCTCGCCCGCGCGCCCCGCGCGCCCGCGCGCCGCCCGCCCCCGCCGCCCGCCCGCCCGCCCGCCTCCTCCTCCTACTACGATTCCTCCTCCATCCTCTACCTCATGGGGTATGACGGCTTCCCCAGCCCTTTACTCGACTGCATGCTCCTCCACATCCCTGATCAGGGCAACTTGTCTGGGCATCGCTTCTGGATGGGCTGGTGGGGGGCCCACGAAGCATCTAGGCTATAGGTAAGTTCCTCCTCCAAGCGGTGCTCGCGTGAAAAACATACCCTTGGGGCGCTCTTGTTTAGAGGGATCGCTCCCTGCAGTGAGGAGGAACAGTTGTAGGAACGTGTGAGGAGGGGACTTGGGACGGAAAGGTGTGTGTGTGTGTATGTTGCAGCATCGCTGGTACATCATATTTTTACTCTGGTCCGCATCCTCCTCCTCCCTCAACATGAGGAGCGGAGCATTGCCATGAGCGTCAAGGCAGCAATCACTCTGGAACAGAGAAGTTGCCGCCGGTGGGACTTTACGCAGCTGGCCCGTCACGGAAGCCGAGACGATCGACGACTGGGGCGGGCCGCGGGCGGTCCTTGTTCGCCGCCGACGTCTGGGTCTTGGCGCCGCCGAAGCGGCTCACCCGGAGGGGCGCCTCGCCCCCGCTCCGAGGCCCTCCTGGGCAGAGCAGGCGGCCCCGCCTCACACCCGGAGGCCGCACCGCACGTGTGCCTTGCCGCCTGCGGCCAGCGCCCCCACCGCCGCCGCAGAGCATGTTCGGGCCCTGTTCCTCCTCCTCCTCCTCCTCCTCCTCCTCCTCCTCCTCCTCCTGCTCCGCCTTCTCCTCCACCCCCTCCTCCTCCTCCTCCTCCTCCTCCTACTTCTCCTCCTCCTCCTCCTCCTCCTCCTCCGCCTCCATTCCTTTTTCTTATAAATAATTTATCCCTGTCGCACCCCGAGGCCAGTTTTTCAGGCGGGCTGGGCGTTTCGCCTGAGACTTCCTCAACATCTATGACTCTGAAGCTTAAAAAGTAGCAACAGCTTCACAGATGAAGGGCGGGTGATTTTCAAACTGTGGCTCTCGCCTTAGCGCCACGCACATTCGTTTAAAGATATGGCAAGAGCTTCACGGATTGAGGGCGGGTCGTTTTCAATATGTGGATCTCGCCTGAGCGCCGAGCACATTCGCTTTGTAATTTTGTAAGAGCTACACGTATTAAGGGCGGGTCGTTTTCGAAATGTGGATATCGACTTAGCGCCGCGCATATTCGCTTTAAAAATATGTAAGAGCTTCACGGATTGAGGGCGGGTGGTTTTCAAAATGTGGCTCTCGCCTGAGCGCCGCGCACATTCGTTTTAAAAGCTGCAAGAGTTTCACGGATTGAAGGCGGTTCCTTTTCAAAATGTGGTTTTCGCCTTAGCGCCGCGCACACTCGCTTTTAAAAATTAAAAGATTTTCACGGATCCCCATGATCAGTGTATCAGAAATGGCGTTTTGGAAGGATTCAGGACCATGCGAGTGCAACAGTTATATTGATTCGCGGTGTTGATTGAAATCCCAAAAATGGCGTTGAGACACAATTCCAGATCGTCAAGACGCAAGAGTCAGGTTGATACGTGGCGTTGATATCCCGAGAACAATGTTTTGGCATGCTCAAAGTTTTCAAACGGTTGTCTTCCAACGAGGCAGTTCCCTCAATGGAAATGAACCGTTGTAGGGGCCTATGAAGAGGGAGCTTGGAGGGAGGGTTAATTCCAACATAGTTGATGACTCTTGGGTTTACACTGGTCGTCCTCATCCTCCTTCTCCTCCTCATAATTCTGCCATTTCCGACCAGACATGCCTTGAAACGTTCCCGGGTGCTCACCGAGCACGTCGACTAAGATTTGCTGTGGGGGGGGAAGGGGGCGCCGCCACCAGAGCTGCTCTGCCAGTCACTTGAGCACGTCGACTGCTCCGCCGTCGACAACTACGACGGCGGCGACGAGGACGGCGCCGACGACAAAGGCGAGGAAGACGACGCGCGCGCGCGCGACGCCCGCGCCGCACGTGCGTCGACCGATGTGGAGCCCTGGCCGCGTTCGGCAGACAGAGAAAGAAAGAGCAAGAGAGAGAAGACAAAAAGAGAGAGAGAGAGAGAGAACAAAAAAGAGAGAGAGAGAGAGAGTTATTTGCCAGACGTTAGACATGAAGATGGACATGTGATGCAAAATGCACGCCAGGAGCGGCTCTGCGCCTTCCGCCCGCCCATCCTCATGCGACACGACATGGTACGAGTAATATGTGCTGCCGGGCCCCTGAGACACGCAGCACACCGCAGCTGCGGATAAGAGTGCGGGGGCGGGCGCGGGGTGGGTCGCGGGGTGGGTCGCGGGTGGGTCGCGGGTTGGCTCGCAGGTTGGGTCGCGGGCGGGTCGCGAGGCGGGGTGCGGGTGGGTCGCGGGGCCGGTCGCGGGTGGAACGACGACGACTAACAACAAGCAGAATCCGCGCCACGGAACTCCACCTCAGCCACACAACCAGGGACAATGAATGCCGGTCGGCCACCTCACTCTGACTAATTGCTCTGGCCTTTGGATTCGTATGCGGTTTCCCTTGGGAACCTCAATTCGGCACAACCGTCACGCACTTCGAGCATCATGGATCACCAGAGGCGCCCAGCTGGTTCTCAAGACGGCCCAGGGGAGCCTCAGTTCGGCGCATCACTCACACGCGTTGTGGCCCGTGCGCCCCCGAAGGCCCTCAGCTGGCCCTCCCCTCGCGCACGTCGTGCCTATGGGTCCCTCGGGGGCTCCCAACTGGCCGCGCAAGGCGGCGCAAAAGCACAGCGGTTCGGCACACTTCTCACGCACGTCGTGCCCCGTGGACCCCCAGAGGCTCACAGCGAGGTCCCCAAGGCGAGAGGAGGGAGCCCAAAGCCAGCTTACCCTTCACGCGCGGTGCACCCCGTGCAGGCCCAGGGCCCTCCACGAGGCGTCTGAGACCGCCCGACGTCCCAGGGGACGCCAAGACAGCCCCAGCAGAACTATTACAACGATTGGCACCGAACCCTGCCGAAGCCGCACCTCCGAACTTTTCCGTCGGCGGCGAGGCAGAGTTGGCTGCGCCAGCGAAAGAGCCAGGCGGGGGTGCCGACAAGCGAACTGGCCAGCATGCCGGATGGGGGAAGAGGGCAGAGCGGGCCGCCGCCGGGGGGGAGGGGGAAAAAAGCCACTCGGAGGTGGGAGAGTTCTCACCCGAGCGCGCCCGCCTCCGGACACACCCACGGATTGCAAAGCTTGAGTCCTCGATTCCCCCTTGGGAGCCCGCCGCGACTCCCGCCCTGCGGGCTCCCTGCGGCGGGCCCCCCTACGCGGGCCCTGGCCATGGAAGGCTCCGAAGATTTTGGAAGAGCACACAAGAATGGACCACCTCCTCCTCTTCCTCCCCTGCTCCTCCTCCTCCTCCTCCTCCTCCTCCCCCTCCTCCTCCTCCTCCTCCTCCTTCCTCCCTCCTCCTCCTCCTCACCCTCCTCCTCCTCCTCCTCCTCCTCCTCCTCCTCCTCCTCCTCCTCCTCCTCCTCCTCCTCCTCCTCCTCCTCCTCCTCCTCCTCCTCCTCCGCCCTCCTCCTCCTCCTCCTCCTCCTCCTCCGCCCTCCTCCTCCTCCGCCTCCTCCTCCGCCCTCCTCCTCCGCCCTCCTCCTCCTCGGCGCGCCTCCGAGTTAGGACCACAGCAGATGATTCACAAGGCTGGGGCGCTGTTGATGTTGGGGGGCCGGCTTGGGCGCCACCCCGAAAGGCTCGAGCGTGAGCCTCGCTTGTGGAGGAGGTGCGGCCGGCGCCGAGGCGAGCGCGGAAGAGCGCAGCAACGAAGTCCATTTACACAGCACCCACACTCGAGAGCCAGGCTTGAATCTATGTTAACTCGGAGCGTGCCTATACCATTAAATCTTGATTTTAGGGTGCTGGGGGCAGGCGGGGGTAGAGCGACAACCCTAATGAAAAAGGCCCCACAGAAAATCCGACGCAGCAGCGGGAGGAGACACACCCACAGGACAGCGAGCGGCTCGAGAGGAGGGGGCACCCTCCGAAAGTATCTGTTCGCAGCGGCGGGGCCCCATGTGAGGCCCGAAACTTAAAAGGCCGAGAGGTTCCTGACCGTGCCTCGGCCCACGGTCGGGCCATCAAGCCTCGCGGCGAAACCCCCAGAGTTCATACAAGCCCAGGGGGGGGCAGGGTTAGGAGCCGAAACTTTGCGCCAGGAGAGGAGGGTCAAGCACGAGAGAGAAAGCGCTAGCCCTTCTCCTAAAATACAGTTGAGGCGGCTATCTGAACGTTTAAAGGGGGTGTGTAAAAGTGTGTTTAAAAACGCGTATTTACACAGCACCCACACTCGAGAGCCAGGCTTGAATCTATGTTAACTCGGAGCGTGCCTATACCATTAAATCTTGATTTTAGGGTGCTGGGGGCAGGCGGGGGTAGAGCGACAACCCTAATGAAAAAGGCCCCACAGAAAATCCGACGCAGCAGCGGGAGGAGACACACCCACAGGACAGCGAGCGGCTCGAGAGGAGGGGGCACCCTCCGAAAGTATCTGTTCGCAGCGGCGGGGCCCCGTGTGAGGCCCGAAACTTAAAAGGCCGAGAGGTTCCTGACCGTGCCTCGGCCCACGGTCGGGCCAAAAAGCCTCGCGGCGAAACCCCCAGTCCCGTCATCACTAGACTGGCACTTGTGCCTTCACGCTTCCAGCCACTGCTAGACACGAGCGCGGCACACATTCGGGAGGGGGGGAAAGGGAGATAATTTGTGTCGCTCTCACCCACCAAAAAACCTGCTTTATATTTTCCCCATATCTATCAAGTGTTCAAGGAAGACAAGTGGAGGACAGGGTGCACGCGCCCAACTCTCGAGGCTCCTGCATTTATATCAAAAGATATAGCACCCGCGAAAGGCGGGGGCCTAAAATGAGGGTGGGGGCTGCGGCAGCCTGCTCATTGCCTTCTAGCCCTGCTGCGGCCAGCCGTAGACGGGCGGCTGGCAGGCTCCGCGCCCCCGTCCGCCATGCTCTCCAGCTGCGGCAGCACGACCTCGTCGTTCTTGGCTGCCTCGAGCTCCTGCACCATTTCCTGCGCCAGCGGGGCCAGCACGGCGTCGGAGCGGTAGATGGCCTCCGCGATCTTCTGGGCCGGCCTGCGCCAGAAGGCCCGCCCCCGCTCAAGCTGCTCGGGGGTGAGCCGGCTCCGCTGCTCGATCAGCACGTGCACCTTCGTGTAGCGCTGAAGGGCCGACGTAGTCTGCCAGCGGCCCTTCCGGCGCGCCGCCTCGAGCGAGCCACCCGCGGCGATGTAGGCCGCCGCGCCCGCGTGCCTCAGCGAGTGCGGAGGCCCGAAGTCCGCCAGGCCCGCCCTGTCGAAGGCCAGCCGCCACGCCTTCCTGTACTTGTCCTGCGAGAGCGGGAAGAGGAGGTCCCGTGGCGCCGCGCCCTTGCCGATCGCCCGCAGGATGGCCTTCGTCACCTGCCACGAGACCACGACGCCCTGGTTCGCTCCCGTCTTCACCTTCTCGCCCCGCTCTCTGCGGCCCAAGGTGAGCCCGACCTCCCCGTCGGGCCCGACCGCCACGTCCGTCTTCCTGAGGAGGCCCCAGTCCTGCTCCCTCAGCCAGCCGTCCAGCTGCAGCAGCACCGCGGCCCCCTCGTACAGCTGGCCGTGCTCAAAGAGGTCATAGAGCACGCACCCCACGGCCTCGAACGGCACCGGCGCCCCCTCCTTCTGGAAGCCCATCCTGGACCAGGACTTCAGCGCCCTGGCAGCGACGGGGAGCCGATTGCGGTGATCCTCGAAGATGTGCATGAAGCCATTGAACAACGCAGACGCCCTGCTGAAGGGTAACTGCATCACGTAGCACATGTCCGATATGTACCCGCCGAGCGCCGCATCCCTCTCCTCGTAAGTGGAGAAGGGGAGCCCGTGCCGCTTCACGTCTAGGAGGAAGGTCCTCACCTCCTTCTCGTAGATCTGATTCGTGGCGTCGTCCACGGCGTGCACCACGAGCCTCACATTGTGATGCAGCTTGTCGCTCGGTGCCTGCTCCCAGGCCCGAGCGCCCCTCTTAGCCAGAGGGGGGGGCTTCGCCGAGGTCGTAGCGGGGCCGTCCGCTCCACGCCGCGGCATCGCCTCGCACAGCCTCAGCCCGCTCATCGCCATCACAAATGCGAAGCTCCAGGCGGTCCTCGTCGGGCCCGGTCTTGCAGCCGCTGAAGTAGCTCCCTCGGCACTCCACGGCCCACGTGGCCCGCCACCGTGTCCTCCGCCGCGCCTATGCCTTGACCTCTCGAGGGGCCGTCTGCCAGGTTGAGCTCGCTCGGCACCCACCTGAAGTACCCGCGGATCCTGCAGACCATCTGGATGATGCCGCCGATCCTCGCCAGGTGCAAGAGGTCCCTGGCAGACGGGCGCCCTTTCTTCAGGACGCCTAAGCTCACCAACGAGTCGGTGAAGAAAAGCACGCGGTGGTTCCAGCTCTGGGACGTGCGACTGAGGTGTCGGAGCACCGCCACCACCGTCCGCAACTCCAGGACGTTGTTGTGTTCGGCGTGAGACCATCGTCCCCTGAAACAGCACGTGCCACTTCTTCTCCAGCCAATGGCCCAGCAAAGGCAGGGCTGGGCCAGTCGCTCGCACGACGCGCCCGCGGTCCCCCTGCAGGCGAAGCCGGGCCCCCGCTGGTATCGAGTCCCAGCGCGGCTCGAGCTCCTGCAGAGTGGACGCGTATGCCCTGCACAACTCCAGCGGGTAAGCACAGGCCACTTGAGTCCACCGTAGCCCACCTGGTGATCGTCCTCGTAGTTCTCGGTGAGCTCGGCCAGTCCGACTGCATCGGCTCGAGGGGCACAAGCACACCCGCTGTAGCGTCGCCATCTTCTTCACGTTGGTGATGAACGTAGTTGGCTTCCTCCATTCCTCGCCATACATGCAGTAGTCCACCTCCACACGGAAAACCCCCTCGAGATCCAAGAGCGCGGTCATTGGCGCGAACGCCCATATCATGCTGGTCCTGGGGTTCTCGAGGGTGAATCCAGTGCCAAGGCGTAGGCAGATCTTGACCACCTCTACTGCTATCAAAGCCAAAGCGTTCCCTTCGTCGATCTTGGCCTGGTCCGTCTCCGTGCAGTCCGGCAGCCCCCATGGGTGATCGCTCGACCTCAGCGGCGGCTGCCTTGCTCTCGAAAACGTCGCGCACGGGGGGGCAACATGCACCCACCAGAACCAGCCAGTCCTCAACCTCCGTAACAGCAGCTCCAAGTTATCTGTGACCAGTACGTCGAACTCCACGCCCCGCTGGATGTCCCAGGCCTCGCCCCACGAGTCGGTCAGCTCCCTGGTCGCCTCCAGCAGGCGAGAGCTCCCAGCGAAGAGCTCCAACACTCCAGGTCGCCCCATGGTGGGAGCGGCCGGGAGGTCCTCCTCCTCGCCGATCGCCTCCTGCGCCCGCTCGATCTCGGTGTAGCTCTGCTCGGCCAAGGGTCCCCAAGCTCCCCCATCTCCTCGGGCAGCTTCCCGTCGGACGTCCTCCTCCGCGCAGTCGCAAGCCAGGGCGCCGAAGCCCTCGTTGGACGCATCCGTCATATATGCTCTCGGCCACCAGCCCATCTCCAGGTTCGACTCCATGTAGACCGAGAGGGACGCGACGGCCCTCAACTCGCTCCTGACCTCCTCGGGCAAGCGGTGCGGCACAACACTCTCCTCCTCGGTGAACTCCCTCAGCCACCTGTAGGTCGTGTCCAGGATCGCAAACGAGGGGCGGAAGACCATCATGGTCCAAGTCCAGTGCCCGACCAAAGAGGCCACCGCCGCAGGTCTGAGAGCCACTTCCAACACCGCCGCCTCGGTAGCCAGCACGACCTGCTCCATCTTCTTCGGCTGGATCCTCAGCGTGTAGGGTCTCGCGGCGGCAATGCACAGGCCCAGGCCGTTCTCCATCCCTTCTCCCCAGGCCTCCTTGTGCACCGCGAGCCCCTTGCCGTTCAGGAGCTCCTTGATCATCTCCTTGTCCTCCAGGACCTTCAGCTCGCCGTCCTCGCCCTCGAGGGTGAAGCCGATGTAGTCGTCGATGTACAACATCAGCAAGAACCTGATCGCCTCCTCCTCCGATTGGCCAAACGACGGGGTGGGCTTGCCGTAAGTCAAGCTGGGGGTCTTCAGGGACTCGAAGCTCGCCTCCAGGCAGCTGTGGGCCAAGAACACCGCCCACGCCGAGCCCATGACTAAGCTCGAAGCCCCAATACCAATGTCCTCCTCGCGCGGCTTCGGCAACGTCACGCCCTGCGCCAGCCCGTACTGATACAGCTCCTGCGGCGAGACATCCTCCACCACAAAATATTCCGCCAAAAACGAACCCCAGTGCAACCGATAGAACCAGTCCGGTACGTCGCCCTGGAAGGAGAAGAGCCGCCGTCCACGCAGCACCGCCTCGTCCAGCTCCAGGAGCGCGAGGCCCGCGGGGCTGCCCAAAGGTGCCCAGGGGGGATCCACGAAGAGCAGGTTGACTCTTCGGCAGTCCCAGATCAGCCGAGACTTCAAGATACCACCAGTCTTGGGGTCGAAGTCCTTCGCCACCGTGAACAGCCCGACATGTTCGCGTACCCTCGTCACATATGTTATCATTCCAGCCTGCGCCATCCGCAGGGCAAGTGCCAGGCGCTCCTTCTTGCTCCGCCACGCCGGGTCCGAGTAGCTCTTCGTCGCCTCGTACTTCTCCCAGTCGACTTCCCCCGAGCCCTTTATCATCAGCTGGCTGGCCTCTGTGAGGTACCGTCCAGCGAGGCTCGAGATCGCCGCCACCTTCAAGCTCTGGGTCCCCGGCGCTGGGAGCGACACCTGCTCCGCTCTCAGAGGGCACAGGTCGCCCTTCCTCAACTGCTGTGAAGTCTTCGATGCCGTAGCCGTCGTAGACTTCGATCCCTTCGCAAAATACTCTGTCGGGCTCCCTCCTGCCAGGCGGCTCAATGCCGCCCTGCCGTCGTTGATGGTCCCCCACTTCGCCCTCGCGGCGTGAAGGTCCCAGGCTTCCGTCACCAGCCTCTTCTGCAGCGGCGTACTCGCACTCCAGTCCGTCTGGCACGTCTGCTTGTCCGTCAGGGTCGATGGATGTATCCAACCATTCGAACAGCCCGTCGCCATACTCCTGATCGCCGCTATCGTCCTCGAAGTCCGATGCCAGGTTGTCCTCAGCTCCTTCTCGGACAGGCTCGAACTCGACCTCCTCGACTGTAGTGGGAACGGAAGCCCAGGTAGACTCCTCAGGGGATCCCTCTCTCTCGCATCCTTCTCCCCAGTAGGCATCTGGGACCACCGAGCGACCTGCGCTCCGACGCACGGGAAAGCCAGCTCGCCACAGAACGGCGCGAGGCTCTAAGTACAAGAAAGGCCTCGACGCACCGACGCCGCCGTGGAAGACCCCACAACCGATCGCCAGGAAGCTCACCAGCCCGACGTAGCACCACCAACCGAAAGACGTGTCCAGCAGGAAGCTCGGCACGAAAGCGGCTCGCCGCCGCGGCCGCGGTAGAGGGGATTGACCCCTCAGGCCTTGGCCAGAGCACACCACGATAGCTCCGGCCGCAACCTATTCGTCTTCGCCGGCGGGCTGCCCCGAGCGCACCTCACCTAGGTGTTTGCTGAGGATCGCCCGCCGCCTGAGCTTCTCCAGCACCTCGTCGTCGGCCCCCCTGTTCTCGCTGTTGGGGTCCCCGTCGAGGCGCAGGTACTCCTCCGCCAGACTCCAATCGACCTTGGAGCGCCACTTGTCGCCGTGCTGCGCCTTCGGCCTCTGCCAGTCGCTCTTGCACTGCACCCGCTCGTAGGCCTTCCAGATCGAGTACAGGCGCAAGCAGGTCACCTCCGCGGCCTGCGAGTTGATCAGCTCGTCGCACTGCCCCTGGCTCATCATCCTGTCGAGGACCAGCGCCAGCATGTTCAGCTCCTGCGCGATGCCTGCGCCCTGCAGCTCCTTGGAGCGGAGCCACTCCTGCGTCTCCACGCGGGCGCCCCGCCCGCCCTTGTAGAGCCTCGCCAGCACCGTCGGCGCCACGCGGGCCTTGATCCCACCCACGGGGGGGCCTGCCACGCGGCGGTACTTCTCCAGCGTCGTCAGCAAGCTCTCCTTCGGGTTCCGCGACTCCTCCTTCAGCTGAACGATCTGGTCCTTCAAGGGATCGTCGAGCTCGCCCAGGTCCCCGACCTTCTCCCAGGATGCTGCGCTCGAACTCGGCGTAGGCGATCCTGCCTGCGCCCGGGTGCTCGAGCACGAGTCACGCTGCACCAGCTCCTCGTGCTCCGTCAACTTCTTGATGAACGCATCCACCTCGGCCGTGCTGGGCTCGTCTCCTCTGGACGGCGGCGGCCCCGCGGGGGGCGGAGGAGGCGGGCCTGGCTCCGACGCCAGAGCCCCACCGCCGCAGGCCGGGCCTGCTCCCGCGCCGCCCCCGACGTCCAGCCTCGACTTCAGCATGCCCACCGCGTCGGCCAAGTCGGACTGCCCCCGAGCCAACTCCGCGAACAGGGTCTTGGTGTCCCGCTCGTCCCCACTCACATCACTCACGTCCTCGCCAGCGTGCACGGACCCGCTGTCCGAGTCCGAGCCTGAGTCGCTGTCGGAGTCGCCCTCCTTTCGGCAGGAACATCCGTAAGTCCAGACCGCGTAGATCCCGATGAGGACACAGCCCAGGTACGCCGCGCCCAGCTCGAGGTCGCCCGACTCGTACAGCTCACCCACGAACTCACGGAAGTTGTCCAGGTCCTCGATCGCCTGCATCCCCGCGGAGATGGTGTGGTACCCTGCGGCGAAGAAGGACCCGAGATGCAGCCACCGCCACAACCTCCAGCCCACGAAGAACGCCGCCGCAGCACCGCCCCACGTCTTGTGGGCCCACGCCGTCACCACGGTGGTCACGAGCCCCTTGCCGAACCAGGACGCCACCTTGGCCTTCGAGCTCGCCTTCTTGCCCTTCGTCAAGTTAGCCTTGGCGCTCTCGGCGCCAGCCTGCCCCAGCTCGTGGCGCACAATGAGCCGCTCCGCGGCTATGATCGCCTGTTCCCTCTCCTTCTCGCTCAGCCCTGGGTGCTCGGTCCAGGTCACTCCCTTCTTCGGGCGCGGCAGCATCCGCGCCTTGTCCCGAAGGTTGATGATCTGCACCCGCTTGGCGGGGTCGATCGCGGTCCACACCAGCGAAGTCCCTGGGCCGACGCGGCTCACGAGCAGCATCACCACCCCCGTGTTCCTCCCCTGCGTCTGGACGTAGACGCGGTTCCACCTGCTCCACGGCGCCATGAACCCCGCTGGCGACCCTGTCCACTCGGCGCCCCCCGCGAGGTCGAGGGGTTCGATGAGGACCTCCTCGGACTCCCTCTGGCGGCCGCCGAAGAACTCCAGCAGCCCGTCCAGCTCGCAGAGGGCGAGTGCCGTCACCAGCAGCCAGCCGGGACGCCCGATGGCCGGCGTCGTGGCGGCGCCCGAGCCTGTCGGGTTCGGGGCGAGCAGGGGCTGGAAGCTACCCCTCTCTGAAGGCTCGAGTGCGGGCCTCGCCCGCGAAACCCACGCCTCGAGCCGAAACTTTGCGCCAGGAGAGGAGGGTCAAGCACGAGAGAGAAAGCGCTAGCCCTTCTCCTAAAATACAGTTGAGGCGGCTATCTGAACGTTTAAAGGGGGTGTGTAAAAGTGTGTTTAAAAACGCGTAGCAGTATGAGATGCTTCGCGCTCGTGCTTCAACCAACCGAAAAAAACGTTTTGCGCTTTCTCCCAGAGGCGCGGCCAGAATGAGCCGCACCCGACGTAGATCCGCCGTCTTGCGTTTCACCGTACAGGGGTCTGGCGTACTGGACTGCAGATCAGCTCTTGCATGTTGTTGGTCGTTCTAGCTCTCCGAAGCCTCTGCATAAGCGTCGTCCTGTGCCGCCACCGTATCCCAACAACACGCTGTCCGCCAGAATCAATTGAAAAGTCAAACTCTCGCTCCATACGTTAGAAATCTTGAGGTGCCCCAGGACTAACCGTGACGGCCTCAAATGGCCCGACGTGACCGAAGACAACCCGAGTTGGCCCACGATGTCCTGCAGCATTGCTCCAAGAAGCCCCTCGACAGCTCCAAGGTGGCCCCCGAGACACTTCAGGGAAGCTACTAAGACATCGGATGCTGGGGAATGCGGGCCAAGCGACCTCCACTGGGAAATCCGCTTTGGCTACGCTTTTGTGTCGCGCGTGCGTGCGAGGCGACGCGGCGCGAGGGCGATGACGTGTCGGCCAGGGCTTAGGCCGACTCGTGCACAATGGCTTCCCTCCGGTATCTCGCGCTTACCCGCAGCGGCCGTCCCCGCGGGTTGTCTCCCGCGGGTTGTCCCGTGGGCTCTCCCGCGGGTTCCCTCGCGGGGTGTCCCGCTGGGTGGCCCGCGGGTGTCCGGCGGACTGTCCCGCGGGGTGTCCCGTCCCGCGAGGTGTCCCGCGGGAGGTCCCGCAGGTTGTCCCGTGGGTTGTCCCTTGGGTTGTCCTGGAGGGTGGTTTGTGACATGGTCACTGGAAAAGCGTTGTGTTCATGGATTTCGCATCCGCCCGCGGAAATCCGCCGCCACCGCCCGATGGTCCTGGAACAGAATAGCGCCAAAATGCCGCAAGATGCCATCAGGGCAGGCCCAAGAGGTCATCGAGAAAGCCCTCAAGACTCTCAAGAGCCTCGCCCAAGGGGCTCGTAGATTTGCTCGTATCTTTGCTCCCAAGAGCCTCGCCCTAGAGGAGACGTATCTTTGCTCACTCCGATTGCTGCAGAGTGTGTGTGTGTGTGCTTCTTTGGATCCCCCTCACACCCACTCAAGCTTCAAGCATCCCCCGAACCTCCCATCCCCGTTCCCTGCAGCACCTCTCCAACTTACCTTCAGCCTGTCTTGAGCTCCCCCTTGAACTTGCACCTCTGGACTTTTTTGAACAGCAAGACACAGGACAAGACGCTAATACACGGTTGTCTCCTCATGCCAAACTTGTCTCTGCTACGGGGAAGACAGATGCCATATTCGGAACCGCGATTTGAAGAAGGGCAAGGCGGTGGGTGCAGGACTCCGACGGCGTCTCAGCCTCCGAGTGATCATCTTCTCCGAGCAGCCCTCCGATAGGAAGCCCAGAACGCCGGAGGTGCCTGACGTAAAAGTTCAAATATCGGGCACCCTGATCAGTGTGCCCATGGGCAACCTTCACGTCTATTTTTCCGAACGTTTGCCACTTCGGGCGCGCCTTGATCTTAGCCTGAGCATTGAAATGTAGACCGTTGGGGTGTTTCGCCTTCACCCAACCCCCTGTAATGTTCAGTTCTTGGAAATACATGTCTGCGCATTGCCCACCCAATCGACGTACCTCAGCGTCTACACGAAGCAACACCCTCTCAAGACGCTGCTTCCGTGGAACATGGAGCAGAACGTGTTTACCAGGCTTCATCACATCGAACCGCTCCCCATGGATGTTTTGCAAATGTGGATCGCCAACTGCAGCCGCAGATCCGCTCGCCGCTGCGGCCGCTACAGCTGTCATGGGATGGGACTCTGGCGTCGGGACCGGCGTCGCTCCCAGCGGGGACGGCGTCGGGCTTGGAGCTGCAGAAACATCGCACACCAAAACCAGTTCGTTGTATGAGTTATCTTCTATACGCACGAAAGTGTTACTCGAGTCGCAATGGTTCCACCGTGGATCAATTCGGCTAGCTGCGCATTTCGAGTAGAACGCATTTCTGTTGGCGTTCAAACTAGGCAGAGCAGCCGACCACTCCTCTGACGTGGCGTAGCGCAACGTGGGGCAGAAGGCCGAATACGAGGAGAGAGCATTGAGCTGGGAGCACCCGCCAGAGCACGGAGTAGCCCAGAGGAAGCAGATGCCGTTGACGTAGTAACAATAACTCTCCACGCCTGGTTCCTCCGAAGCTCGGCGACCGAGCAGCGCCTGTTCCTCGCCTGTTGACCGCGACCCCAAGGAAGCCGCTGCCCAACAAAGGTTCCAATGCGCCCACTGCGAATGCCCCACGACGGTGATGTCCGATGCTGGCGCTGCGTACCGGGCCGCCCTCCGGTACATGGTGTTGTTGATACCGAAGTCGCAATCATACCCCGAGTCTGTGCTGCCCAACGGAACCACCATGGACGGATCCACCATCACCTTGCAGGTGCCCGAGCCAGAGCCGACAATACACTGGTCCTGCACGCTGCACTCGGCGTCACCCTCTGTGCTGAATCCCTGTAGCCACTCGAGGCCACCGTTGCTCCTATGCGAGTCTGCCGCCATCGCTCTGTCCCAGCCTGCGGGCCACGCCGACGCCTCCACCGAACGATCCATCGCCGCCGCCACCGCCTCCATCGCCGACAGCTCCGCCCCCATCGCCCGCAGCATCGTACCCGCATCTCGCCCCGCGGAGCCATCTGAGACTAGCTGCATAGCTTGGACATCTAGGAATAGGGTAAACAGCGTCGCAACATGACTCTGGCAAGGCATGCCGAATGAGGATGTGTGTGCGTATGTAGACGGACAACACGGAAAAGGCCCTGATCCAGCGCCTTTGAGCCACATTGGCGCGTTCCTTTCACCTTCCCTGGGCTTTCCGGTCGGCTTCCGATTCAAGCTTCAGCCCATGTAAGCATTTGTCCGGTGGCAACTCATGGGAGCCTCCCATACCATCTCGTCGGCTCTTGCGAAATCGACACTAATCGATGCTAGATCGACGCTAATCGACGCGAAGTCGATGCTAATCGACGCTAAATCGGCGGTATCTAATCGACTCCCAGACGCAAATCGACGATAATCGACGCTGAAGAAGGAATTAAGAGGGTACACCAGGCTCCCATGATTTGCGACCGAACATTTTTGTCCGAAGTCCACGGTTCATCCCATGTCAACGTCTCTGTCAAATATCTCACTGTCTAGACGGTCCGCTTCACAAGCCCTGTACCCGAAAAACGTTGGCATCTCTTGCCGAAACTTGTTTCTTCCGCCAGCTTCTGCTATCATGGGGGGTCATGGGCCGTCATGGTGTTTTCTGGGAGGCCCACTGGATCGCGGGGGTTCTGCCTGGAGCGATCCGAAGAGCAGTGGGACACTTACCACAAAGGTCACCTTGAGCCCTCCAGGTGGAAAAGCGAAGCGTTAAAAATATTGCAGCATCGCTGGAAAAGACGCCCAACAGAATAATAAATTACCCTGTGACGTACCCAACCCATTTGTATCAATGGAAACGAGGAGTTGGCCGAAACTTGTATGGACAATCAACTTGATGTGTAGGCTACTTGGGAGGCGTCACTGTGCTGGGCCCCGCAAGCAGGCCTCGAAAGTGGCGACAGTTTCACAGATCGCAGCCCCCCAGGGATGGCGAGGTCTAATTTGAATCTGCGTGTGGCGTCACTGTGCTGGGCCCCCCAGCAGGCCCCGAAAGCGGCGACAGCTTCACAAATCGCAGCCCCCCCAGGGGCGGCGAGGTCTAATTTGAATCTGCGTGTGGGTACCCACCATGCTGGGCCCCGCAAGCAGGCCTCGAAAGTAGCGACCGTTTCACATATCGCAGCCCCCCAGGGATGGCGAGGTCTAATTTGAATCTGCGGTGGGTGCACACTGTGCTGGGCCCCCCAGCAGGCCCCGAAAGTGGCGACAGTTTCACAGATCGCAGCCCCCCCAGGGCTGCGAGGTCTATTGCATCTGCGTTGGGTAAACCCACTGCGCTGGGCCCGCGCAAGCAGTCCTCGAAGTGCGACAGTTTTCACAGATCCCGCCCCCCGGGATGGCCGAGGTATAATTTAATCTGGCGGTGGGTACCCACTGTGCTGGGCCCCCCAGCAGGCCTCGAAATTGGCGACAGTTTCACAGATCGCAGCCCCCCAGGGATGGCGAGGTCTAATTTGAGTCCGCGGTGTGTACCCACTGTGCTGGGCCCCCCAGCAGCCCTCGAAAGTGGCGACAGTTTCACAGATCGCAGCCCCCCAGGGATGGCGAGGTACAATTTAAATCTGCGGTGGGTACCCACTGTGCTGGGCCCCTCAGCAGGCCTCGAAAGTGGCGACAGTTTCACTGATCGCAGCCCCCCAGTGATGGCGAGGTCCCATTTGAGTCCGCCATGGGTACCCACTGTGCTGGGCCCCCCAGCAGGCCGCGAAAGTGGCGACAGTTTCACAGATCGCAGCCCCCCAGGGACGGCGAGGTCCCATTTGAGTCCGCCGTGGGTACCCACTGCGCTGGGCCCCCCAGCAGGCCGCGAAAGTGGCGACAGTTTCACAGATCGCAGCCCCCCAGGGATGGCGAGGTCCCATTTGAGTCCGCCGTGGGTACCATCCGCCATGGGTACCCAATGTGCTGTGCCCCCAGCAGGCCGCGAAAAGTGGCGACAGTTTTGCGCGTCGCACAGCCTCCCCAGGTGGCGAGGTCCATTAGTCCGGCCCCCCCCCCCCCCACCCACCGGGGGTGGGTACCCACTGTGCTGGGCCCCCCAGCAGGCCTCGAAAGTAGCGACAGTTTCACAAGATCGCAGCCCCCCAGGGATGGCGAGGTCCCATTTGAGTCCGCCGTGGGTACCCACTGTGCTGGGCGCCCCAGCAGGCCGCGAAAGTGTCGACAGTTTCACAAATCGCAGCCCCCCTGGGATGGCGAGGTCCCATTTGAGTCCGCCGTGGGTACCCTCTGTGCTGGGCCCCCCAGCAGGCCTCGAAGGTGGCGACAGTTTCACAGATCGCAGCCCCCCAGGGATGGCGAGGTCACATTTGAGTCCGCCGTGGGTGCCCACTGTGCTGGGCCCCCCAGCAGGCCTCGAAAGTGGCGACAGTTTCACTGATCGCAGCCCCCCAGCTGCCACGCAGCGACGAGCGAGGCGAAAGGCAGGGAGGAAGAGAGGGACGGGAGGGGGTGGGAAGGAGACGCGCGAGCAGTGCTCTATTCAAAACGAGAACCCAACGCAGGAGGGTTGGGAAATAGCGTGTGCATGTGTACAGGTATGTATATATATACACACACACACACATATATATATATATATATATATATATATATATATATTCTCATACGCACCTCTCCGAGGGAGTAAAGCTCAGAGGCGATTAATGCGTCCGTCGTTCGCGATGTTTCTGGCCGTTTCGCTCGGGACATCCTCGAAAATCTGAAAATCGGTGGCACCCCTCACGCAGATCGTGACGTCAGGGTCCAAAAACACATAGGATTTCCAACATGTTATCATAAAACCTTCAAAAACACATGGTAATTTCAATGATTTTGACTCCGATTCTCAGAGAATGGCGGTTTCGCCTTAGACATCCTCCCAAAATCGAGCCCCAGACCCCTCCTCGGAGCCTCCTGGGGGCCTCCTGGAACCTCCTGGGGCCTCCTGGGGCTTTCTGGACCTTCTGGTACCCGAGACCCCGCCTCGGAGCCTCCTGGAGTTCTCCTGGGCCTGCTGAGGCCGCCTGGGGCCTCCTGGGGCCTCCTGGGGCTTCAGAACTACATGCACACACAGAGACACAAATCACGCCCAACACATCACACGCTAGACAAACATAACATATACACACACACACACACACACACACAACACCGACAACACACAAAAAGCACGCACCACACAAAGCACACATCACACACACACACACACACACACAACACAACACACACTCACAATCCTGGGGCCTCCTGGAGCCTCTTCTGGTATCCAAGTCGGGCCTCCTGAGGCTTCCTGGGGGGCCCTGGTACACACATCGCAAGGTGTGGCAACCCCACTTGCGCTCGAGTGCGACTTCGCTGTTGCATGTCACTCATGCTTCAAACGCCCCTTCAGCTTGTTGTATGAGCCTGGGCACACACGTGCCACTTGTATATATATATATATATATATATATATATATGGTTATACTGCGATACAAGGGGGGGCCTCAAAGGGAGACCATACGCGAGACCATACGGGGAACCATACGGAAGACCAGCCGAGAGACCCCATGGGGGACCATACGGGAGACAATACGGAGACAATACGGGGAACCATACTGGGAACCATACGGGTGACCATAACGGGAACCGGAAATCGACACGGGAGACCATAGGGGAGACCATACGGGAAACCATACGGGAGACTTTACGGGAGACCATCCCGGAGACCATACCGGAGACCTTAGGGAGACCAGGATCCAGCAGGCCACACCAATGTGGGAGCTTATGCGGCGGACCGCTCGGGAGACCATGCGTCACCGATTCTGGATCCGGCAGACCCCTCGCTCTCATCCTAGAACTGTCACATGTGATGATGATGATGATGATGATGATGATGATGATGATGATGATGATGATGGTGATGACGATGCTAATGCTGATGCTGATGCTGATGCTGATGCTGATGCTGATTATGATGAAGATGATGATGATAATGCTGACGATGATGATGGCAATGACGATGACGATGACGATGACGATGATGATGCTGATGATGATGACGATGACGAGCGCGGCCGCGGCTCGCGCGCGCGGGGCGGCCCAAAATGGGCAGGCCCGTCCCGCGCGCTCGTGCCGGGGCGCCGCGCGTCAGGCGGGGGAGTCCGCCTGCTCGCCGACGACGGCGAGGCAGCGCCCATCAGCCTTAGATTGGGAGAGGAGGGAGGGGGGCAGAGAAGCTGCGGAGACAGCAGGAGCTCGCTCACAGAGAATAGAAGAGGCATTCTCCCGCTCGCGCGCTAGCGAGCTGTCTCCGAGCGCGGCCGCGGCGCGCGCGCGCGGGGCGGCCCAAAATGGGCAGGCCCGTCCCGCGCGCTCGTGCCGGGGCGCCGCGCGTCAGGCGGGGGGAGAGACCGCCTGCTCGCCGACAACGGCGAGGCAGCCATACCCGTGCTCAAGGACCTTGCGAAGTGACAAGGTTTCGGCGGGCGGCCGCAAGTAGGGCAGGCCAAGCGGCGGGGCCGACTTGGAGAAATGAAGCGACAAGGCGGTCGCTGGCGGTGGCGAAGAACAGGATCCGCGCCCGTGCGGGCTCGGGCAGCGCAGCAAGAACTGTGGAAGCGGCGGCGGCTTGCAGGTAGCGCTCAGCACTGGAAGCCTGACGCCAACGCCCCCGCCAGCAGACGCGAGGGACGTCTTCCGTAGCGATATAGAAGTCTGTTGCGCCAGAGCCCCGCAGACATGCGGGCGTCAGGTTGAGCCCCTGACCCGCTTTGGCAAGAGGGACGCCCAGGGCCGAAAGCAAATGATTCCACCGAGTACGGAAGCCGCTCGCACCGAAAGGGGCGAGAGGATCGGTGGAAGCCAACCGTCCAAACACTTGATTCAGAATCTTCACCGTGCCCCGATCGGAGCAGCGAGCATGCTGCGTCGGGTACGTTCTCCTGGTCTTTGGAACAAGAATCGAAAGAAAAGCATCCCCTTCAACTTCGAGGCGGTCGCAAGGAAGCGACAAGTCACAGCGGCGTGACGCCAGCAGCTCGCCAGGCCTGAGGAACATCGTAAAGCCATGAGCAGCAAGGCCGCCATCACAGGCCAGTCCCAGGCGAAACAGAGACCGACCATAGCGCGCAGCAGAGCGCGAGGTAAGGGCGGGCGGAGCTTTGGCGGCTCCGCGAGCTTCCATTGTTTCGCTACGTCCCAAGCTTCTGTTAGAAAGGCCTTCCAATGCGGATGAGCGCTCTGGATTCCCAAGATGGCATGAACCAGAATATAATGAGGG